AGAAAGCTGTCCAAAGTTATGCCAATGAGAGTCACAGTGGTGTGAAGATATGTAGAAGTGATTCTACAAGGTTGTATGTTATCTGTGTTGCAACAGACTGCCCATGGAAATTGCATCTAATAAAGAAAAAGTGTAACACCCCGCTTATCAGAGTAACTTTTTCGCAACTTTTACTTCAAAATACTTTAACTCTTTCGAAATACTTATGAAGAACTCGGAATGCTACTTAACTTGTCTTTATAAAAATCTGTTTATCTTTAAACTTTTGTCTAACAGATTTATCTTTAAACTTGCATTTAAAATACTATAATTCTATTTCTCAATTACCATATTTATATTTCTCAATTTACCATAATTATATTTCTCAAAATACCATAATTATATTTCTCAACATGGTAAAACTTATAAAATGCAAGTTCAATCATTAATGTGCATAGCGGAATACTTAAAAAAACGTGGTTAATTATACAGACTGTTTTAAATGTCCACATTAAGCTTGTCTTTGTTTGCTTCCACGATCCACACCAACACAGCTCCACTCACACCTTCTCGTTAACCTGTTACCTGAAACTAAAACTCATGGGGGTGAGTAACGAATATGGATAATCATAAACCGATATCTGATCGGTAACTTAAACTTAAACTTTCATCTCTCTGGCCGATGGTTAATCGGATACCTGTGCACACTCTGATGGATATTTATAAGGCCCATTTCGCCTCCACCAGAACTTAGATATAATCTTATGAGACAAATTAATGTCTCCTCATCCCAAGCGTAATAAACCTTAACTTCGGGATATAACTTTTGAGACAACTGATGGTCTCCTTATCCCAATCACATATCGTACTCAATGTGCTACCCATTCAGGGTCCCCACCTTTTCATCTTTGAAATCTTTTGTAACACGATAAGTGCTGTACTGGTACTGTATCTGCAAGTCAATTCAAATATAGACAAATATACTAAGTACTATGCTCGTATACTCAATAATTTCTTAGGATTATTAACTTATCCCATTCTTCTAATAATTCATTTAAACTTTCTTATTCTCAAGTTAAGATTATACTTAACTTCACTTTTTACTTTTTCTCAAGGTTAATTACTTAACCTTATAAAACATATCTTCTTAAACATCAATATGTTTCATAACATGCTATAACTCAAATGTGAAAAATACTATATTTCACATTATACTTGATTAAGTACTTAAACTTACTTTTTACCATCATCATCAACATCATGATTTATAAACTCATCTTAACTTAATCTTTTACTCAATCAAGTACTTAATTAATCATACATCATACTTCTCAAACTTTAGATATTGACTTATTTTTCACTTAATTATCTTGAAAGTGAAAATAATCATATCATTCTTAACTTTCTCATCATGTTCTTAATATGTGAGATTTAAAACAATTTATATAAAATTGTATACTCAACATATTAACTAAAACTTTATCAAATTGTTCATCACTTATGAGAATTGTTCATAATAATCTCATTAATAATCATCTCTACTTATCACATTTTCTCATTAACTTTTCTCATGATATAATATAGCATACTTAATATAATCTTTACTAAATTGTATACTCCATATATGATATCAAAACTCCATCATATGACTCACCATTCATATGAAAATTACTCATTATTCATATGAAAATTACTCATCATTCATATGAAAATTACTCATGAACATCTCATTTTAACAACTTAACTTTATTATGACTATTCTTGCACATATATATACTTATCTTTACGTATATGCTTTCTTATCTTCATAACTTATTCATTTCTCATCTTTAACTTTTGAAACTTAACAGTCATATCTCATCTTATCACTAAACATATGCTCAAAATTTCATAATCTTATCATGCATATTCATCAAGTTATGAAAACTTTAACTTTAATAGTGAACATAATCTTTATCTTGCATGTTCATCTTCATATATTCATAACTCAAGTTATACTTTACTAAATCTCTTAATTCTTGTTCTCATGTACTCCTCTTTTACATAAGAATCATTCATTTAAATCATATAATTCCAGTTTATTCATATATTTATCATCATCTTATCAAATTCAAGCATGTACATCATATAATTGATCTTGAATATATTTAACTCTTTATATTAATAGAATCAATTATAAACTTAACTTCTTTATCATGTTTATACATACTTATAAACATGTAAACTTAACATCAAAACATAAACTTAAACATTTACTTTAAGATAAGTGAGTTACCTCATCTTCTTGTCAAAGTAAAAACTTCATTCTTTACTTCATCTTCTGTACTTCTCCAAAGTTTCTCCCACTCATTCTCTCTTTCACTTTTATTTAACTTTGGAACTTTATTTTGGTGTGAAAAACTCTGAATTTTAGACCTCTATTTATAGGCACAATTTGCAAGACATCATAATTGAGTGAAGAAATTAACAAAGTAAACAATACAAACTTGTAAAAATAAATATAGATAATAAATAGTATTCTTAACTTGTAAACTTCTCCAACCCATAGTCAATGCTTAGAAAGGCCCCTCTTCTAATCCTAATCTGATCTCAATGATTAAATTCGAGATTTAGTGAAAATTCTCCAATTTACGGAACCAAATTCTGACTTAAAATGAACAGTTACCGTAAAATCGAAAATTCTTACTATTTTCGAATTTCCTTCTTTTCTTTTGGCATTTTTCCTTTTTATGCTAAAAAATTTTTCTTGTCTTGTAGTCTACTAAAAAATAGAGAGTAAATAATTTAATTTATTTCTTGGAACTGAAATCGGACATAAATTCCGACTACAATCGAAAACCGAAAAAAACGAAAATTCTAAAAATTTCATATTTCTCTCTAATAATTTAAATAGACTAAAATGTCTAAATAAATTTCTCACTTATTTGAACATTTATAACTTAAATGTTCATGGATACTTAATCGAACTCGAGACCTAACTTGTCTCGACTCATTATTCTTTTTCTTTCTCATTCAAACTATAAATGGCCAAATTTACATCATTTAGCTAAATAAAATGGAATGTTACTTGAACTTGAATAACTTATTTCACTTCAATAAACATTAATGTGTAATTAATCCTTATAACTTGATCAATACTCAAAACTAAGCTAGGCTCGAGAATCATTTGTTCGGTAATAATCTTAACTCGTAACCGAACATGCTTTGTTCCGTTCACGACTTATCTTGAATGAGTAATCAAAATATACTCGATTTTTATTATTTGTCATCTTATTATAATTAATCCCATCTTATAAATCCAATTATAAAAATAAACAGACCAGAATTAATTAATTAATGAACTAGCTCGATTAAATAAAATTTAACCGAGAATACTTTCAACTTGAACTTTTAACTGAATAACTTAATAACTGAGCTCGAAACTAGGAACGAGCATTATTAATAAAAGTAATTAGTTCAAACTTAGAACTAAAATAATTATTTTTATTAATTACTAAATGGGATATTACAAAAAGAATGAAGAAACTTGGTTCATCAAGGAATTCATTTCTGAACATTCTTGTCCATCTACCTTTTAGGTCAGAAATGTTATATACCTCTTAACATTCAGTTAAATGATTATAAAACAAATATTGGTAGTTAATTTTTTTCCTAACACTTAAATATGGTACTTAATATTTTTTTAACACTTAAATATGGTAGTTAATTTTTTATTCACACTTATATATGGTAGTTATTTTTGTTCATCTACCTTGCAGGTGAAAAATGTGAAGTCCTCTTGGTTGTGTGACAGATACTTAAAGGACTTTAAGGCAGACCCCAAGAGAAGTGTAAAAGGTTTCAGGACAAGCACCATTGAAGAGCTAAGGTGTCACATTTCTAAGGATCAAGCATATAGAACTAAAAGAAGAGCACTCAAAATTCTGGAAGGCTCTGCAGAAGGGCAATATTAAGGGCAATATTCTAAGCTGTGGGATTATTCTGAGGAACTTAGAAGATCAAACCCTGGGTCTACTATCATTTTAGGTACTGATTCTGATGAAAATGGAAATTCTAGGTTCAATAGATTGTACATTTGTTTTGCTGCAATGAAGAAAGGGTATAGAGATGGGTGCAGACCAATAATGGGGATTGATGGATGTCATTTGAAGGGCCCACACAAAGGTATATTGTTGGTTACAGTGGGTGTTGATCCCAATAATAAGTGGTTCCCATTTTCTTATGCTGTGGTCAGTAGTGAGTGCACAGAGACATGGTCATGGTTCTTGACTATTATGAAGAATGATTTAGCCGTGACTGACACCAGTGGTTTCACCCTAATGTCTGACAAACAGAAGGGGATCATTCAAGCTGCAGCTCAAATATTCCCTCAGTCTGATCACAGATTTTGTGTCAGGCATCTTTGCAATAACTTCAAAACAGCCGATTTTAGGGGTTTGGCATTCACAAATGCCTTATGGGCTGCTGCAATGTCCACAACCAAGTCAGGATTCACAAATAGAATGGCAGAGCTTAAGGAGATGAACCCAGAAGCATGGAAATGGCTCTCTGATAAACCACCAGAGCAGTGGTCTAAATCACATTTCAAAGAAGTTCCCAAATGTGATATGTTATTGAATAACTGTTGTGAGACCTTTAACTCTTGTATTTTGGAGGCCAGAGAGGAACCTATTATCACAATGCTAGAGTGGATTAGAGAATACCTAATGAAGAGAATGCAAGAGAATAGAGATAGGGCTGCAAAAAAGTGGAAGAATAAATTGTGTCCAAGAATAATGGAGCTTCTTGAGCTACACAATAAGGGAGTGGCTGATTGCATACCAGTGAAGGCTGATGACATACACTTTGAGATAAAGTGTAACAATGGTGCACAATACTCTGTCAACTTAAAGGATGGAGTTTGTTCATGTAGGTCTTGGGAATTGTCTGGAATTCCATGCAGCCATGCTTTGAGTGCCATCCATTTTCAGAGAGGTAATGTTGAGGACTATGTAGATGAATGCTACATAGTGTCCAAGTATATGGTTGCTTATGAGAACACTTTGTATCCCATTAATGGCACTGAACTTTGGGAGGATAACCATTTCATACCACCACTGCCACCAAATTTTGGAAGGGGTGCAGGGAGACCTTCTAAGGCAAGGAGAAGGGAGAGTGATGAGATAGTTGGGAAAAATAAGAAGAAAAAAGGAACTTCAGCTCCTACAAAAGTGAAGAGGCAACAGACAAAGGTGAACTGCAGCAGATGTGGTGGAGAAGGCCATAATGCAGCCACATGTTCATCTAACCCTAACCAACCTCCACCAGTACAGAAGATGCAGAAGATGCAGATAATTAATTTAAATGTACATACTGCTACTGTGTGTTTTAATTTCAGTTAAATGTGGGTGCAATTAACTACTACTGTGTGTTTTAAATATATATACTGCTACTTTGTGTTTTATAATCATTTAACTGTGGGTGAAATTACTAAGTTATTTTGATGTGTGTTTTAATTTCAGGTAAGAAGAAACAGTGGTCCATCCCTTAGAAACCTAGCAAGTACTGTGAACCCAACTTTGTTTCCACCATTGTCAAATCATGAAGATGAAAGTATGGTGATGGAAGAAATTCCTACACAACAGTCCCAGACACCTTTGATGGCCACAATGCAGAGATCAACTCCTGGACCATCCATGTATGAGCAGTTAGTCAGGGGAAACCCAGTGCAGCCTACAAGAGCCAGACATGGAGTTCAAATCAGAGAGCCTCCTACATTTACTGGAGAGAGACCTATTTTTTCTGTGGAAGCAGCATTACATTAGCTCATGAAAATGTTGTGGTTGATAAGGGGAAAAAGTACTTGGTACTTAACAAAAAAGGTCATGGCAATGACAAGTAATTTGTGTCTGTTGAACTAGGTTGATAATGGGCTGTTAGGAAATTTTTTACTGGTTTGTTATGGATAATATTAGAACTCTGAACTGCGTAAGGGATCTTTTGAACTTTGGATTTGCTTAGATCTTTTGTACTGGTTGATAATGGGCTGATTTGGTTGGTAGTTTTTGTGGATTTTGTAATGGATTTGTTATGGTTTTTGATATGGGTTCTAAGGAATTATTATGATCTTGATAGATATTTGTTGGATTTGGTATGCACTGTGTAGATTGTTATGGATTATAAGGGGTTTTGTGTTGGATTTGTTGGATTTTGTGTTGGATTTGGTAATGAATTTGTTATGATCTTTATGCTCATACAATTTGTGTGCACATTTTTGTGCAACATGTATTTCAGGGAAAGCTGCAGCTAAAACTATAAAAAATGGTCAACAGCCTACAAATATGCCACAAACTAACATTTGTTATGCCATTACAAGATCAAGTTACATCCAAATACATGAATGTCAACAACATTACAAATATGAATCAACCTAACATCAATTATTCACCAAACTCCAAACTCCAAATTATCAATAATGCTACTAACATCCTTAGAAGTCTTGTTTTTTTGGCACTCTCATACTTCAATTTCAGAATTTCTGCCTTCAGTTTCTTGTTTTCTTCTTCAAACTCAAAATTGAGTTTCTTCAACTTCTTGTTTTTTTCTTCAAATTGAAAATTGAGTTTCTTCAATTTCTTGTTTTCTTCTTCAAACTTCAGAACCTCGAATTTTTCAATGTCAGCACTCTTACTTGATTCTTCCATTTCATTCAATCTCCTGAGCAACCCAGGAATTATTTGTTGAGCACGGGCACAAAGAGGAGGATCGACCCATCCAAAATACTTGCATCCTCCTTCCTGAATTCCACCAAAAATAAAATAAATAAATAAAAACAAAAATCAAATTCAATTACAAAGCACTTATTCATCTAAAACTCTCATATATTGTACGACTTACAGGCCAATGGAGGCACGAGAAATATCTTCTTCCACAATTTGGAGTTTTCCACGAGGTGCGAATTTCAACTTGCAACCCACAACGGCAATTTGGATTATCTGTGTTGTAAGACATCTTGTTAGAGCTTCACTCTTAAGTCGAATTTCTTGAAGGTTGTACCGAACAAGAAGGCTCTCGAAATCTAGGGGTTTTGCTCGAATATTGGGGCTTTTCTTTTTTGTTCGAATTTTTGCCGATTTTTGTGTGAAAAATGAAGGAGCACACGCGTGGATGTTGTATTTATAGACGATATAGCTGAGGTGGATTAATTCGTCCACGTGCAGTCCACGCTGGCATGTTTTGTGACCTCAGGCGGAGTTCCGATGAGTTTGGCCGGATTTGGGTAGAAAGACCGATTTTTTAAAACGTTTTGGCTATTATTGCCAAAGTCGAAAGATGGTGGGTATAAATGCCAACTCATCTAAGTTACTGGCTAGTTTGTGCAATTTGGCAAGATGGGAGAGAGGGGCATGTAGTATATATATAGGAGGAGGCCTACAATCCTATTCCTACTAATATTCCCCATGTTCTAACTTAACTTACTGTCCAAGTCAAACATCACAAATTGGACTCTTTAATATTAGAACATTAATAATCCATTAAATACATATTCACCTTAATTAGGTTTGACTACTAATTCAATTAGGTCCATAATAATAGAATAATATATAAAATATTATTACATTCTCCCACTTGGACCATATAAGTGTCGAAACTCAAAGAACTACTTTAAGCGCGCACCTTTCATCAAACTTATAATTGAATACATATATCAATAAGTTTAAAATCGAACTAGAAATTAACCGAGTCATGGCGGTCACAAGTCTTCGAGCGACATGATCCCTTCCATGTACCACAAATCATTTCTAATTCAACTTTGCTTTAATATGGAACAAACTATTCGTACCATAACCATAAGTCATCCAACTTTTATATATATACTATAAAATCAACTATCCATAATGGTGATATTGTATGTGAAGAATCAAACATCTTTAATTGAATTCAATAAGTGTCAAAATCATTAATTGAGCAATTTCATTCAGTATCGGTCAGTCCAACAAGGCCCTATTCGTTATTCCCAACTTTCTTTATATGCCTTACAAAGGCTATAGGGAATAACCCTTTTAATGGATCCGCCTTCATGCAAGTAGTACTAGAATGCTCAAATGACACTTTAGTTCTTCACTTCTACTTTTACGACCAAGTATTTCAATTTTATGTGATTTACACCCTTTGAATACTTGTCATTCCTTGAAATATTATTGCTACGATACTGCGATAATTCTTAGCGGCTTAGACCAGACGACATTTCCAAGTCCTAAGATAAAGCACCGTAGCCCTAAATTTGACTTGTGGCCTCAAAGCATACCACAAACTCAACCCTACACCGTGGAAGTCGCGATGATGGACTTTTGTTCCACCTTTCCATAATTTTGCTCCTTTAGACATTATGAGCAAAAGTCTAAATCCAAGTATCCAATTATAACAAAATAATTTGGATCTTCTTTAAGTTAGCATGTGTTCTTTAATGCCTTGTAAGTACTTTAAAAATTTCTTTGCAGCATAATCATTTAAAATCATTTTTATAGTTGTTTAACGTACCAACAACAAATATATTATCAAACCTAGTACAGGTTCGTCTCGCTTAAGACTCCTAATAGTTTATATCTAAGGAATTTCCTCCATCACTTTTCATTCCATTTCACCTTTCGAACATTTATTTTAGACTAAATGTGTCCCTTTTATAAATTGGAATTATACGGAACAACCATCCATTATCTCTCAAATAAAACTTTTATGGGATAAACTTTTAGTCCTTGTGATCTATTCCAGAATATTTCTATTCCAATTAGCAAGGACGTTTCATCCACATCCTTTATTTCATAACTTTTTAGAGAGATAATACTTTACTTCGTGCAACATGTCCACATTATTAGCAACTATAAATATGTCATCGACATATGGAACTAAAATAACAGATCTGCTCCCACTGACCTTAATGTAGATACACCCATCTACGGTATTCTCTACAAAACCATAAGCAGTGATGGTATCATTAAACTTACGATACCATGGACGAGACTCTTATTTTAGTCCATAGATCGATCTATTCAATTTACACACTAATGTTTCATTTCTTGTGATCTAAAAAATTTTTAATTAGTTCATGTAGATCTCCTTTTAAGTTTATCATTTACAAGGTGACCTTTATATCCATTTGATAAAGCTCAAAATCATACAGAGCCACCATTACTATTACAATTTATTAAGTAATCTTTCTCGAAACGGAGAGAGTATTTCCTTGTAGTCAATGCCTTCCTTTTGGGTGTAACCTTTAGAAACAAGTCTAATTTTATATCTTTCGATATTACCTTTAGAGTCGTGTTTGGTTTCAAAATAACCCATTTACACACAACTCTTTTAGACCCTTCAGGTAAATCTATTGAACTAAAGACTTTATTTTCATCCATTGACTTTAATTATTCTTTCATGGCATTGATAAACTTTTCCAGAATTTTAACTTTTCATGGCTTGTCATTCATCAACCATAGGTTGTTCTATAATTTCTTAATTGCTTGTGATGATTCATTATCAAGTGAGTTTGAATCATTTTGTTATTCATCTAAGTTACATGACGATACTGTTGTTGGGTTCGCAATACTGTACGGATTAAAATCGCAGCGGAAATTATACAATATAATTATCGGCATCTTTTAAAATCACGTAAAAATACGAATTTTGATTTGTAGAGAATTTCGAAAATTACCTTTAATTTTCTTCAAATAGCGACGATGAAGAGGAAATCAATTCCCGGTTATGTGGCTATCACCGTCTTCTTACTCCTTAAGGGATCCAAGTGTCTCCCCTCTAATCGAGTCCACCTTTTAGATTCCGACTCCAAAAACAATTTCTTCGCTAGTAGAAATTTTTCGGTATTCAATCGGTATTAGAAATTAGAGAGAGGAGATTTTTTTTTTTATTTATTTATTTGAAATTGCCGAATATAAATGCTGGGAAACTTTTTCCCTTTCAGCAATTTCTCAACATGGGAGATCATATTGTATCTCATCTTTGTACATCTCATGTATATTTATTTTTCTTTCACAAAAATGAATGTCACACACACTACTCAAAATGGAGAGATTGGTTCCTTTATATAATGTGCTCACACACAAACCAAAACCAAACATACATATATGTCATCACCATCCATTTTAATTAATGAAGATTAGATGGCATCTTCATCTTAATTTATTATGGAATCTTGTTTTTTTCTTATGACAAAAGCATATGTATGTGTTAATTGATAGTTGTTGGAATATATAACAACTCTCATCTACCATATTAAATAATAATAACAATTATTATTTATTTAATTTTAAGTTTAATCTTTAATCTAAATTAAAGATTAATTAAATATAATGACACATAATTTATGAAACTAACTTTCAAAATTAATTGGTCAAAATATTATCTCCCATATAAAATAAAATCTCATTTCTCATGTAGGCTTTTAATATATAATCATATTAATATTTGGATTTGAATTTTAAAGTCCAACTTTAAAATCCAAAATTAATTTAGTAATTCAAATAATTACTTAATTAATATCCAAAGCCTAATTAATCAATTCAATTGATTAATTTATTATATTCTTTTAATTGACATCTAATCAAATTAGATTTAATTAAATAATCAAATTATTTAATTAAATCTTGTCAATTAATCCAACTATTGGAAATACCAATTTCAAAATTGCCATCATCCAAAATTTGGTGTGACCCTTTTAGGTTCACGATTAATACTAGTAGTGGGTTTACAACTCGTTTGTAATTTAAAATAAATCTAATTAATTTATATTCTTGAAATTAACTCCTTAATTTCAAGAACCCACAAATCATGTTAACACCTAGCAAGTAGCATGATTATCTAATATTAAGTGAAATAGTTAGTAAACCTTTTCAATTGCAAGTGCATACATGTAAAATCCTTTCGACAACTAATTTCCCGATTAAATCTTGGGCATGGATTTATAAGTCGAAACCCAATTGATTTAATAACTATGAATTCATTTCAAGTTTAGTGATTCGTTTATGAATCCATATTCATCCTGCCTTGGCCAAGGTCTTTGAATCACAAACTATGAAAAACATAGGAAATTCACTTATCCACATAAGTGTCGAATTCTTTGTTGGTCACAGATAAACCTCCATACATATTAATACAGTACCCAAAATATCTCTTTTATGATTGTCCAGCAATCAAAGGATAAATTAAAGTAAAGCACAACATGCACAAGATTACTATCGTGCCTCAAGTCAGAGGATCAGTCATGTACTATTGCAACATGAAATTCTTATTCGACAGTTAAAACTTCCAGTTAAGAATTTTCATCGGGTCATGTTCAGTGAACTTGTTCTCTAACAAGCACCCGCATATATGCATTCGCGTCCACACGCTAATGTTGATGGAATGCAACATTCTCATCCGATGAGCATACATCATATGCACAAGTCTTACCGGGTTATTCGATGTTCTATCTCGAAACACCCATCGACTTGGAACTTATTTAAGATCACAGCTTTAAAGACATGTTCCATGATTGCCATCAAATGCGCAACCATGCCTTATAGCTAATAATGATCTAAGGACTTTATCATATGTGCAAATATATGATAAATGCAAATACATAAGATAAAGCTATGCTTCAAAATAATATAATTTCCAATAAATTGTCTTTATAAGTAGAAATATATCCAATCAGATTGGAACACCGGGCATTCTACTCTAACAACTGTAACTAAAAGAATAACAACCATTGACGGACACTCGGGTCTAGACTGTTCAACCTGAGTTTCTTTAACATCCAAACTTTGCAGTTTCAAACTCCCACTGATTTGAACATTTTCAATGAATCGAGCATTGCCGGAATCAACTATTCTCGCACTATGGTTAGGAGAGTAGAACCTATATCCTTTAGACTTTTCCGGATAGCCAATGAAAAAACCACTGACTGTCCTAGGATCAAGTTTCTTTTCATGTGGATTATATACTTTTACTTCTGTTTGACACCCCCAAACATGATGATGCATCCAATCCAACTAGGTTTCCTACCCTTCCATAGTTCATAAGGTGTCTTAGGAACTGCCATACTAGGAACTCTGTTTATCCAATATGCAGTAATCTTTAATACATGCATCCACATAAAAGACGTTAATGTTCAATTACTCAACCTACCTCTAACCATATTCTTTAAGTACGGTTTATCCTCTCAGCAACACCATTATGTTGAAGAGTCTCAATTATAGTGTATTACACACAAATATTTCAAGTCT